TTCTTCTAACCATGTCTAGGGATATCTTGCTTATCTTGCTTCTATTGAGTTTGTCTGTACTATCTGTCACATGGATTTCACTATCAATTACTATGCCAAAAATTTCACCAAACAACATTTCAATCTACTAGACTACTGCATCCTGGTTCTAGTTTGTTTTGTTTTATGGCATATCAACCTCAATGGGTTATTTAATGCTGACAAAATGTTTTTTGTTGGTAATATTTTTTGTTCAAAAATCTATTTCTGTGATATTTATTTTCTTTCAAATATGTATCATTGGTAATAATTTTTTTACAAAGTATTTCTAGTATAAAACCTATTTTTACATTTTCATAGTGTTTTGACCCCAGTTTGGGGGTTAACTATTTGCCCATAGCTGGGACCCTAACAAGTGCTACCACCCCAGATCAAGGTGGACCTGGGAACACCAGCAATTAAGAGGTGGTCCCACATTCCTCAAAGCCTTCAGATCAAAGGCCTTGCTGTTGGATGTAGTTTATCATTTTACTCATGACAGAAGTATTTCTGGTATTAAAACCTATTTTTTACACTTTCATGGTGTTTTGACCCCAGTTTGGGAGTTAACTATTTGCCTATAGCCTTTTTCCTTCATTTTTCAATGGATTTCTATAGTAAAATTATTAATAATAATAAATTATTACTATTATACATATTTATTTTAATTAGTTCACCCCAGACAAGGTGATAATGACTCTAAGACACGAAAAGCTACTGGGATTGAAAGAGAATGAAAAAACTTTAGAAGGAATCGAAAACCTAACCATGGAGAACAGTCACTGCACTATTTCCACTAAACTGCATTACTTAATGAAATTTGTATCTGCAGACATTTTTGAATTTTTTGTGAAGCAACTATCTTCAAAGAGGCTCTGGGAACCCTGGATAGATTATATATCAATAAAAAAAAATGAAATAATCTCAAGACACTACAATATTTGCAATAAACCTCATTACTTAATGAAATTCATATCTGTGAACATTTTTGAATTCTTTTCCGAAGCAACTACCTTCAAGGATGCTTTGGGAACCCTGGATAGATTATATATCAATAAAAAAACAAAATAATCTCAAGACATACTTGTTACCAGGTGCCAGTAGCTTCTCAAATCTGCTGATAATTTCCTCAAGGAACTCAACATACTTAGTAAGAACTGTACCTTTACTGTTGTCTCATCTGAGCAGTATTGAGCAGAATTGGTGAGAGATGCTTTCATTATCAAAGTATTATCGGTAAACATCCAACAGTGTTTATTGGAATAAGAAAGTTTCATGCTCCAGCAGGGATATGAATTAGCTAGAGCATCAAAGGAGGCCCAACAAAATGCAGCATTCATTGCCTAACTGGGTTCTGTAACTACAACAGATGAGAAACCTATTTCTGCATCCCTCAGCATTTGGACCCCATAGAAAACACAGAAGCCATGGTCTCTGCTAGACGTATATGCTTTTTCTGTATGGGAAAAATATAACCATGCCTAAATGTCCCACTAGAGATGATAATTGTCTGCCTTGCAGAAAGAAAGGTCACTGAGCCAAGCTTTATAAAAGCAACAAAAGAAAAATTGATGTACCCTGTGCCTTCTTGGCATAATCTAGTTGCTTATCAGATGACATCATAAAACTAGAGGCCAATGGCCTGCCCCTAAATGCTCTGGTGTATACAGGCAGCTCTGAGAACTACATTGATTTGAAAATAGCAAAAGCTAACTGGTGGAAAATCTTTCCATGCACCAGTGTAGTAACAATGGCCAACACTACATTGTCAACACAAGTACTGGGCTTTTGCTATACAGAACTAAAAGTAAAAGGAGTTATTTACAAAAATGTAAAACTTCTAACAATGAAGACACTCTGTAATGATATAATATTGGGCCATAATTTTTTCAACCACATTCCCATATTGAAATACCATTCAGGGGCCCAAGCCATAGTTAAAATGCAGATTTACTAAAATTAACATGCCTTACCCAGAATTCTTCACTATTCTTACACCAGACTCTTCTCTAATCTTACATCAGACCTATCTCAGTGAAATCAAGGTGTTATTCCAAGGAGGACCAATTGTTCATTAGTGGAGAGATCAAGTGAATGTTAAAAGAAGTTATAGAGCTAAGCAACTCTCCTTTGACAGCCCATCTCCTAATCACTGCTATGGAAAACCATAAGAAAAGAATGGTTGTTGATTATTCACAAACCATCAACAAATTTACATTACTTGATGATTATCCTCTACCTCACACAAATGTCATGATCAGTGGAATAGCCAAATATGGCGTGTACAACACTCTCAATCTACAAAGTGTTTATCATCAAGTAGCTATTAAACCCTACAATAGACCATATATGGCCTTTGAAGTTGGAGGCTGCCTGTATCAGTTTCAGAGGATTCCATTTGGCATAACTAATGAGGTAGCCTGTTTCCAGAGAATCGTATATGAAATAATCAAGAAAGAGCAAGTAAAAGGCATGTTCACCTACATTGATAATGTGATGATATGCAAACAGGACCTGTACAAACACAACAAAAATCTGAAACAATTCATGATAAGCTGTAAAAAATACAATTTGACATTGAACCAGAATAAATGCTTCTTCAGACAGAACAAAATTAAATTGTCTTGTTATATCATCAGTAGGGATTATATGAAGCCAGACATGGAATGTTTAAAACCCCTCTTAAAACTACCGATTCCTGATAACATATCTTCACTAAGATGGCCACTGGAAATGATTGCCCCCTATGCCCATTGGATTCTGTTATTTTCAGATAAAATTAAACCACTCACAAAGATTTCTACTTTTCCTCTTCCCCCTTACACTATCAGAGCATTGTAGGAATTAAAATAAAATATTAAAAACACTGTTGTTATTACTATCAACTTCTCTATGCCTATAGTGGTAGAAACAGATGTGTCAAAGTGCATCATTGCCGCCTCACTAAGACAAGCAGGATGACCTGTAGAATTCTTTTCTAGAAGGCTTTCACAATCAGAAAGGCAACATTCAGCCATAGAAAATGAATCATATGCCATTGTAGAATCTCTAAGAAAGTGACAGCATTACCTACTAGGCCACCATTTCAAATTAATAATGGATCAAAAGTCAGTGGCATTTATGTTCAACAATAAAATAACAAGTAAAGTGAATAACGAGAAAATAGCTGGTGGTGGATGGAACTCACCTGTTTCTCGTTTGATGTCACATACTGCCCTGGGAAACAAAATGCTATGGTTGACACACTGTCAAGAATGTACAGTGCAATAACCTGCAAAGAAGGTCTCCTTAAGCTACACAAAAATCTATGCCACCCAGGTGTAACAAGAATGCTATATTTAGCTGTGGAAACTTACCTTTCTCTGTGGAAGATGTAAAAGAAACTATAAGGAACTGTTGGATATATGCTGAACTAAAACTAAAATTTGATAGACCTGACATGGGAACTGTAGTAAAAGCCATGCAACTGTATGAGAGTCTTACCCTGAATTTCAAGGGCCCGCACCCATCTAAAACTAACAACAAATATCTATTAACAATAATAGATCAATTCTCATGCTTCCCATTTGCTATTCCCTGTCCTGATGTAACTGCAAAAACAGTAATTCAGGCTCTTTGTTCCCTCTTCTCTGTATTTGGGTACTCTGCTTATATTCACTCAGACCAAGGGAGCACTTTTATGTCTGATCACGTCGGACAGTTTCTACATGAACAAGGAATAACCACTAATGGAACTATCCCATATAACTCGCAGGTTAATGTTCAATAAAAAAGATATAATGGTGCGATTTGGAAAATGATATAATTAGCAGCAGCCAACCATGGGTATTCCATTGATTCTTGGGAAAGTCTAATTTTGACTGCTTTACATGCCAAGAGATCACCACTATGCACAGCTATGAACGCAACTCCTCATGAGAGATTCTTTTCATTCCCGGGAAGATGCTCTACAGGCACTTTGCTGCCATCATGGTTGTCACAACCAAGTACAGTGCTATTAAAACACCACATATGCCAGAATTATCAAGAACCATTAATAGAGTGGAACTGATTGAACCTGTATGCCTTAATATGCTCCCCTGATGGAAGGCAAAATTTGGTCTCGCTTAGAGACTTTGTCCCATCAGAAGTGGGAGATAAACCAGAAACCTTTCAAGAGCCCAGGACACTCTGATACTCTAATGTAATAAAGTGAGATCAACTGATACCTTCAGTAAAAAGACAGCTCTGAGACTTCCTCCAAACCAGAGGAAGAAAACCCAGAGGATCCTGACAAAGTCGAACCACCATGAAAACCAAAGAGGACACAGAAGATGCCTGGGCATCTGAAAGATTTTCTACCATACAAGTAAAACAATAGAGGGGGAGAATGTGATAATAAAAAACTCTCCCAACCTACCTATTTCAATACTAATCAATCTGTATAAAAGCTGTTTAATTACTAACAGTTTCGTTTCTAAAGTTGATATGCAGCATTGTCTATTCATTACAGTAAACACAACAAATGAAAGGTTGTGATAACAACAACAAAGATGAGGAAATTAGTCTGAATATAAAGAATGTAAGTAATGATTCAGCAAAAACTTTCAAATCACCAAAGCTGGAAAAATTACTGTTGTATTAAAAATATTTGTTATATCCAGAAATATTGTTGTGATGATAACAACAAAAATGAGGACATATGTAAAAAATTCATGTAATAATTTAGCAAAGATTCTCAAGTCATAAATACTAGAAAAATTAATGTTGTGTCAAATGTATAGAAAGAAATTTTCTTTATACCTCTTTAGTTAGAATAAAGTCTCTTTAAGAACAAAACTGTCCATGAATTTTCAGTATTGCAGTAAACTCACCAGGATTGCTATAAGACAATTAAAATGGCATCGGAAACTATAACAATTATTTTCCTTTTAATCTTTAGATTTCTTCCTCAGCCACAATGTCAGGAAGTACTACCCACTGTGATTTCACAACATCCCAGAATGAGCTTTCGCAAAGACTTCCGTTCCTAAAATATAACCAAATTAAAAAAAAATTGCCAGCAAAACAAAAAAGAAAAAGCAAATAGAAGAAAATTCTCTTACCATAAATTAGCACTATGACATTGAATAAAGTCAGTGTGGATTCAATAATTAATACTAGCTCAATGTTTCATATTACAACAAACAAGTTACTTGCTTTTTCAACATATATTAACTGTGGAACTATAAAAATAAAATGAGGGTTTTAAAAAATAATTATCAGACCAGCAAGAGGAACAGATCAAGATATGAGTTACAAATTGGAGATGTCAAAATCAAGCAAGTACAGAATTTTAACTCCTGGCGAAGTGTTTTAACAGAAGATTTGAACCAAAAATACGAAGGTGCATTGAAATAGCAAAAGATGTCTTTCAAAATGTAAAGTATTAAAAAACAGGAACGTTTTGTTAAAGACAAAGAAAAGAGTGCTGAACTGCTATGTAGTATTAATGCTTCTATATGACAGTGAATACTAGATAATTTCCTTAAAGAAAAGGAGACTTGAAGCAAAAGAGATGTTGTTCTATAGAAGGATGCTGAGAATATCATGGACAGAGCATGTTGGCAACAAGGAAATTTTATGGAAAATGTAAACACTTATATTTAGATTTAGAAAGAGATATTTCTGAAATTTTGGGCATAGATAATGAGAAAAGAGGGCTTGGAGAATCTTCTATTCACAGGGAAAACTGAAAGCAAAAGGAAGCCTATCTAACAAGATTGTGTAAACAAGTAGCAGAACAGAGATTGAGAAAGATAGTCAGACAACAGACATAGAGATACAAAGGATAAGAGGTTGTCGAGAGCCAGTTGTGAAGGGGTATAACATATAATTAAAATACCAGCCTTTGGTTGGCTATAGAAAAATGATTTCCTTGCTCTAACTATCAACTTTTATGGTTTTATTTTTTGCCAAAAAGAGGGTCGGTAATATTTATTCATATAGATTTTCACTTTAATATTTATTCATATAGGTTTTGTGTAATATTTATTCATATAGATTTTCATGTAATATTCATATAGATTTTCATGTAATATTCATATAGATTTTCACGCACTATTTATTCATATAGATTTTCATGTAATATTTATTCATATAGGTTTTCATGTAATATTCATATAGATTTTCATGTAATATTTATTTGTATAGATTTTCATGCAATATTTATTCACATAGATTTTCATGTAATATTCATATAGATTTTGATGTAAAATTTATTTATATAGATTTTCATGTAATACTTATTCATATAGATTTTCACATAATATTCATATAGATTTTCATGTAATATTTATTCATATAGGTTTTCATGTAATATTCATATAGATTTTCATGCAATATTTATTCATATAGATTTTCATGTAATATTCATATAGATTTTCATGTAATGCTTATTCATATAGATTTTCATGCAATATTTATTCATATAGATTTTCATAACATTCATATAGATTTTCATATAGATTTTCGCATATAGGTTTTCATTCATATTCATAGATTTTCATGTAATATTTATTTGTATAGATTTTCATGTAATATTTATTCATATAGATTTTCATAATATTCATATTTTTCATAATATTTATTCATATAGATTTTCACATAATTTCATATAGATTTTCATGCAATATTTATTCATATAGATTTTCACATAATATTCATAATTTTCATTTTTATTTGTATAGATTTTCATGCAATATTTATTCATATAGATTTTCATAATATTCATATATATTTTCATATATTTATTTGTATAGATTTTCATGCAATATTTATTCATATAGATTTTCACATAATATTCATATAGATTTTCAATAATTTATTCATATAGATTTTTTCATATAGATTTTCACATTTTCAATATTTATTTATAGATTTTCATAGATTTTCATGCAATATTTATTCATATAGATTTTCACATAATATTCATATAGATTTTCATGTATTTATTCATTTTTTCATTATTCATATAGATTTTCATGCAATATTTATTCATATAGATTTTCACATAATATTCATATAGATTTTCGTGTAATATTTATTCATATAGATTTTCGCAATATTTATTCATATAGATTTTCACATAATATTCATATAGATTTTCGTGCAATATTTATTCATATGATTTTCACATATTCATATAGATTTTCGTGCAAATTTATTCATATAGATTTTCGTAATATTCATATAGATTTTCCCATAAATATTTATTCATATAGATTTTCCCATAATATTCATATAGATTTTCGCAATATTTATTCATATAGATTTTCCCCATTATTCATATAGATTTTCGCAATATTTATTCATATAGATTTTCCCATAATATTCATATAGATTTTCGTGCAATATTTATTCATATAGATTTTCCCATAATATTCATATAGATTTTCGTGCAATATTTATTCATATAGATTTTCCCATAATATTCATATAGATTTTCGTGCAATATTTATTCATATAGATTTTCACATAATATTCATATAGATTTTCGTGCAATATTTATTCATATAGATTTTCACAATATTCATATATAGATTTTCGTGCAATATTTATTCATATAGATTTTCACATAATATTCATATAGATTTTTCAATATTTATTCATATAGATTTTCACATAATATTCATATAGATTTTCGTGCAATATTTATTCATATAGATTTTCATTATTCATATAGATTTTCATATTTATTCATATAGATTTCACAATATTCATATAGATTTTCGTGCAATATTTATTCATATAGATTTTCACATAATATTCATATAGATTTTCGTGCAATATTTATTCATATAGATTTTCACATAATATTCATATAGATTTTCGTGCAATATTTATTCATATAGATTTTCACATAATATTCATATAGATTTTCGTGCAATATTTATTCATATAGATTTTCACATAATATTCATATAGATTTTCGTGCAATATTTATTCATATAGATTTTCACATAATATTCATATAGATTTTCGTGCAATATTTATTCATATAGATTTTCACATAATATTCATATAGATTTTCGTGCAATATTTATTCATATAGATTTTCACATAATATTCATATAGATTTTCGTAAATATTTATTCATATAGATTTTCCCATAATATTCATATAGATTTTCGTGTAATATTTATTCATATAGATTTTCACATAATATTCATATAGATTTTCGTGTAATATTTATTCATATAGATTTTCCCATAATATTCATATAGATTTTCGTGCAATATTTATTCATATAGATTTTCACATAATATTCATATAGATTTTCGTTATTTATTCATATAGATTTTCACATAATATTCATATAGATTTTCGTGCAATATTTATTCATATAGATTTTCACATAATATTCATATAGATTTTCGTGTAATATTTATTCATATAGATTTTCACATAATATTCATATAGATTTTCGTGCAATATTTATTCATATAGATTTTCACATAATATTCATATAGATTTTCGTGCAATATTTATTCATATAGATTTTCACATAATATTCATATAGATTTTCGTGCAATATTTATTCATATAGATTTTCACATAATATTCATATAGATTTTCATGTAATATTTATTCATATAGATTTTCACATAATATTCATATAGATTTTCGTGCAATATTTATTCATATAGATTTTCACATAATATTCATATAGATTTTCATGCAATATTTATTCATATAGATTTTCACATAATATTCATATAGATTTTCATGCAATATTTATTCATATAGATTTTCACATAATATTCATATAGATTTTCGTGCAATTTTATTCATATTTATTATTCATATAGATTTTCACATAATATTCATATAGATTTTCATGCAATATTCATATAGATTTTCACATAATATTCATATAGATTTTCATGCAATATTTATTCATATAGATTTTCACATAACATTCATATAGATTTTCATGTAATATTTATTCATATAGGTTTTCATGTCATATTCATATAGATTTTCATGTAATATTTATTTGTATAGATTTTCATGCAATATTTATTCATATAGATTTTCACATAATATTCATATAGATTTTCGTGCAATATTTATTCATATAGATTTTCACATAATATTCATATAGATTTTCGTGCAATATTTATTCATATAGATTTTCACATAATATTCATATAGATTTTCATGTAATATTTATTCATATAGGTTTTTCATGTCATATTCATATAGATTTTCATGTAATATTTATTTGTATAGATTTTCATGCAATATTTATTCATATAGATTTTCACATAATATTCATATAGATTTTCGTGCAATATTTATTCATATAGATTTTCACATAATATTCATATAGATTTTCATGTAATATTTATTCATATAGGTTTTCATGTCATATTCATATAGATTTTCATGTAATATTTATTTGTATAGATTTTCATGCAATATTTATTCATATAGATTTTCACATAATATTCATATAGATTTTCGTGCAATATTTATTCATATAGATTTTCACATAATATTCATATAGATTTTCGTGCAATATTTATTCATATAGATTTTCACATAATATTCATATAGATTTTCGTGCAATATTTATTCATATAGATTTTCACATAATATTCATATAGATTTTCGTGCAATTTTATTCATAGATAATATTTATTCATATAGATTTTCATGTAATATTTATTCATATAGATTTTCATGTAATATTTATTCATATAGATTTTCATGTAATATTTATTCATATAGATTTTCATGTAATATTTATTCATATAGATTTTCATGTAATATTTATTCATATAGATTTTCATGTAATATTTATTCATATAGATTTTCATGTAATATTTATTCATATAGATCCGGCAAGCCTTAGAAAGCTCATCAACAGAAAGTGAACAGCACAGCAAAGTTCTATTTTCCCTTATTTTCATCTAGTTATACAGGCTTTTATTTGACAATCTTTATGAATCTGGCTTTCTGCCACTTACTTCACAGTCTCTCAGCCTAAAGGAAATAAAAATTCTTCATCGGGTTAAATACTGATCATGCAGCAGTCAGCGTAAAACCAAAATTTATAAATAGAAAGTGAATACTGTAATTTAACCCTATACACAGTGCTTTTTTTATATTATTTTTGCTTGCTTTTCTCTTTTGCTTGTTCTGTATCACTCCTTTCCTATCTCTCAAAAAAACTTTCTTATACCTCTTCTACAATTCTTAGTTTTCATTATTCTTCCTCTTTTGTTTTTTATATTCTTATTTTCATCTTTGTTTTTTTTCTTTCTTCTTTATGATTTCATTTTCTCACTATTTTTTCTGACTTATCTTTCATTCTATTCCTTTCTTTTTCTCTCTATTTTTTCTTCTCAGTTTTTTTTCTTCTTTCCTGTTTGGATTTTCTTTTATGGTTTCCAATTTTTATATTCTCAGCTTTCATACTTCATTTTTCTTCATTTGCTTTTTTCTTTCTATTTCATTCAATCTCTTTCTTTTTTTATTGTGATTCTACCTCATCAACTTTTTTTTTCTTTTCCTAATTCAGTTCCATCCTTCCATCTTTCAATTCCTTCTTTATTTTCTTGCCTGTATCCATTCCTCTTTTTATAGTCTCTTTACTTTCTTTCTATTTCATTCAATCCCTTTCCTTTTTACTGTAACTATACCTATCAAACATCTTTTTTTTTTCCTAATTCTATTTCATCTTTCCGTCTTTCAATTCCTTCTTTCTTTTCTTGCCTGTATCCATTCCTCTTTTTATAGTGTTTTTACTTTCTTTTTATTTCATTCTCCTTCTCTTTTTACTACTGAGCATCTATCTCTTTTTAATTTTACTTTCTATCTCCACAATACACTCTCTTTACACTTTTTCTCTTTCTTCAGACAAAAATTATTTTGGTAATGTTCAACAAACATTATTGTGCTCTTTTGATCCTAATGAGATACATTATAGCATGTGACTCATCTCAGATGATGCTAAAATAGATTTTGCACTTCAGGGAAGCCAGATGCATTGGCAAGTTGACCTGAGAAATAACCTCCTAGCTACCAAGTGCAAATCTGTGTTTCACCCAATATCAGTGATGGCCACTGACATATAAACAGATGGTTGGCTCAGCAGTGCCTAGGATGTGCATGGGTAGGAAAAAACTTGACAAGTAGATGTATAAGCCCCCACCTGAGAGAGAGGGGGACTTTTACATCTTTGAGAGAGTCTCTTACATGAGAATATAGAATCCATATTTGCAGAGGGCACTGGGACCAAACACCCACTCTCTGAAAGGAGTTGACAAATTCTAGAATTGAATAAACAATATAATATTACATATGAGATATTTGGTCGTGTTCTTACTTGATGATAATAATGTTATAGCTGTAAACATCCCACAAAAATATCTGTTTATAATATCAATTGTTAATTTATGTAAATAACACAGAGCAACATAACAAAAAAATGTCATTACTGCTAGGCACATGGTCTTGGAAGAAGACAAACTTGAATAAAACAGTTGACTACATGGAATTGATAAACATGTGTAAAGTGCTGTTGGATTACCACTCCCTGATGATAATCACATATGGCATGATATTTGAAAAACTCTTCTTCTTTTCTCTTTGACATTTGGAGTGACAAGACATATTTCCTTTTACTCCAGTAGACATGAGGCATGTAAGTACTTCAGAGACACAGACTGAAGATTGTATTGAACTGTTCATAACTTCAACTCCATTTCCTTCTTTATCCTTCTGTAACATGTCTTGTTAATACGTTTATTAATTGTTGTTTGTCTGAATTCCAGGTTTTTTTTTTTTTTACCTGAACTCACATGAGTCTGCCAAATATTGTTTGCAGGAGAAATGTACCAGGAGGCATTCCATTCTCGTAACAGTGGTGATAACTACAATTGTGAAGATTGAATTCAAAGAAAACCTAGGAATAACAACTAATAATTTAAATAAGATAACCTTGCCTATTATTGTGTTTGATGTACCTTCAAGAAGAAATTATATTCATATATATATATATATATATATATATATATATATATATATATATATATATATCCCTTTCCTGAATTGAGCACTGTCAGTTATTGGTGTGTTTATTCACAAAGTAAGTACATAAAAATTCACCTTTCATCATGCGCTGATGGCTTAAGGGGAAAATCTCCAACTGTTGCCGAATCAGTTGGGTTTTGTTCCCGACTTGAAGCAATCAGATGTCTAGCCACACTGATGAGCTGTGAAACAGTAAAACAGTCTGTCTGTGGATGACAATATATATATATGTGTGTGTGCGTGTGTGTGTGTGTGTGTGTTTTATTCAAGTTGTTGTTTACCTTCAGGACAATGTACCTGATAAAAACTAGTCATGGCTATTTTATTTATTTATTATAAAATTACTAAATACACAGACCTACTATGGATAAATAGTAGGAAAGACTGAGTTCTATAGCCTTGGACGTACTTCATTTTTTGGTTTGCCTACTGTTTAATGGACCCACAGTCCTGGATGAAGACAATGACTTAAAATAGTTGAAGAAAATGGAATTGATAAACACACAATGCTGATAATTATTTAAGACTAAATTCAAAGAAAATATAACAATAACAATACTTTAAATAAGATAACTTCACCTATTATTGTGTTTGATCAGTCTTCAATTAGCAACCTAATATCCAGCCTAATTACAATTAATAGTAGATAAGGTATAACAATAGTTCAAATATGGTTGTCTTATTATTCTATGAGGCTATTTTATTAGGCTTATTCCATTTAGTTAACTGTTTTTTTGAGTTGTAGGTTACCTCCAGGACTGTGTGCCCTGTCAATGGTGGTCAAACCCTAAAACTTTTTATCTGCTACTCAGACAAAAAATGCTGTATGAGACAAAATCAAGTCTGCTGATTCTGAATCTTTACTCAGAATTGTCTAAGCACCTCAGATCTTTCTTTTGAGGTTTGGGTGTATATAGCATATTTATGTTCAAGGTAAATATTACATTAGTAATGTGTAGCAATGAAAGTAGACATTTTCCTTGTCAAACAAAACACCCACATGTCACATGTATTCTCTGCCAAAAAATTTTAAAAAAGACCCATCTTTAGTTCTTTTATTGGCAAGACGTGCAAATTTTGATCTGACCAGTCACGGGCATCTCACATGTCTATATAAACTACAACATTTGAGTGCTAGCAGCCAGTATTTCCACTGTTCTTGCATGTTCTTATGGATTAATGCATTGGTGACCAGTGGTATTGATAATTGGTGTATTTACAACCATTGGTATTGACTGTTGGTGTGTTAGCAACCATTGGTATTGACTGTTGATTTGTTGGCAACCATTGCTGTTTTGGCCACCATTGGTATTGACTGTTGGTGTGTTAGCAACCATTGGTATTGACTGTTAGTGTGTTAGCGACCATTGGTATTGATTGTGCAAAATCAAAAGAAAAGAGAATACAGAGTTTCTTCTGAAAACTGGGTTATTTTAATGTACAAGTCAACTGTTGCTGCTACAATGTATACCTGCTACAGCCAATCATCTGCATCTCCTCCTGCTATTGTGGCATAAACTTACTCATGTTACAGACAGAATAGGGCTATTATATTTATGTTATGAATGCAATGCTGAGGACATTACCATAGAATGTAATGTAAATGAGTTTACTACTTTTCTACTTAATTTAATTAGTTAAAATTAGCAACGCTAATTCTTACTAATTAAATTAAGAAGAAAGGAATTATCAGTGATCAGGAATTCATTTTGTGAGTAGAAAGGGCTATTATATGTATTATCTGAAAATAATTACTGAATATAATAAAAATAAAATTTATTTTACAATGTTTGAAAGAGAAAATATCACCATCTTAAAAATGAAATTATTAAATTTGCTTAAAATGTTATAAGATCTGCACATTAGCGCTTTGTATTTTTTTAGATGTTGTTAAAACTAAAATAATGGTTGTATTATCTATCATAAATGCTTAAAGTGCATTTGTATGATAGACATGATATACACTAATCTCTTTGAGAGGCAAAGTTGGAGGAATGAATAGGAATGCCATAATAGCAATGGTAATATTAGCCATTTCCTTATTTTCCATTTCATTATTCATTGACCGACCAGCCAGAAAATGCTCAGCTCTACTTCTAATAACTTAATAACTAATAATTAATTACTAATAACTTAATAACTATACATGTTTAAGAGTTGAAACTTTGCAGATTAATAATTTAATGTATGTTTAAGATGCTGTGTAATTTTAATTGTTCTCTGTAAATTATAATTAAATTTTATTTTAAGTTGATATCCACTCAGAAGGAATATCATCTTATTACTAATTTTCAATATTTTATTTTGTCTGAAACTGATTAATAATAGAATTTGTTCTAATAATGTGTCTACTATAATTGGAATCTGATTTATGTCTAACCAAATTTTAATTTATGTAGGTTTTTTAATATTTTCTTCAGAAACACTACAAGTATTAAGTCAATTATCACTATCTGAAGATTATCAGATTATGTTTTTTATTGTTTTTTGTTTTTATGTAATTGGAGGGCATCTGTTTACAGTAAAAAATTAATAGTATTTTTGTTGTTGTTTAAATGGGATTTATTATGTTTGTATATGTGGGTCATGCTAGGAAATACCAAATCATCTCAATTAAATTTAATGTCAATAAGGAACCTTTGTTCTAAGAGAAGTTAATCTGTGGTGACCCCATTATGTACTGGGCATACTCTAATTCATGCCAGCAAATGCCAGAAGTCTGAGTCAAATTTAATATCAATAAGGACCTCTTGTTCTAAGAGGAGTTGATCTGTGGTGACCCAATTATGTACAGGGTGTACTATAATTCATGCCTGGAAATACCAGAAGTCTGAGTCAAATTAATTATCAGTAAAGACCCTTTGTTCTAAGAGGAGTTGATCTGTGGTGACACTATAATGTATTGGCTGTACTCTAATTCATGCCAGCAAATACCAGAAGTCTTAATTGAATTTAATGTCAATAAGGAATCTTTTTTCTAAGAGGAGTTGATCTGTGGGGACCCCAATATGTACTGGGCTCATCCCAGATAAGACTAAAATTGAATTTGCTTTCAGTGTCACATTAAAGTATCAGAGAAGCTGTGTATATCAGCAGATTGACCTGGAATGTGTCCTCATAAACACCAGGTGTAGAGTCACACCTTACTGGATGTTATGACTGACTCAACATGTAAAAAGGTAGCTATGCTTAGAACGTGAGACAACCAGATGACAGGAAAATATATAGGCACTCAACACAAGAGAAAAAAAACAAAGTGTATCTCACATCTTAGTGAGAATGAGACCTAAATTCAAAGTAAACACTCAAAGCCACAGACACCAATCCACTCATATTGATCCAGACAAATCCAAAGGTGAATAAACAATAATTCTACATATGAGAGATTTAGTCTCTTTTGTTTATTAGTCTATGTAATAATAACATTAGATATATGTTACTTTTATGAGTCATAAAAAAGTGTCTGTCACTAGAATAAAAAAAAGAATTCAGGTTTAAGTTGTAAAAAATCTTATGGAAAGATCATTTAAATTAATAATTGATCTTTTTCTCTCTCTGCAAAAATGTCAGCAGTATAAACCTGGTTCTGATCATAATGCACATCTGGGAGGGTCTTAGTTAATATTCTAGCACAAGAAATGAAAACAAGTATGTTTATGTGTGACAAAACTGGAACATGTTCCTTTATATAAAGAATTACAGGAAATGATGAATAAATTACATCAAACTTCATGTGAAGAAGTCATAAAAAGTTCATATCTCTATCCTTCTATCACAACACTTTTTAAATTTTTGTTCTCATTGAAATATCTGACAGTGATATATATATATATATATATATAA